ACCAACTACTATCACAATCAAGGGATTGAGAATGTGCAATCATTGTAATGTGTTCAGTTCTCTACAAGCCACATGACAAATTCCTTGGCAGTAGATTGAATTACCTGCTGTCATCTTACACAAATACAAATGCAGAAAATCCCCGACACGTTTTCTCTATTATAGCCTGTAAGGCCATGCCAAAGGCATCTACCTCGGATAGATGCAAATTCATGTAACAATACAGAGTTCTTGACCATGATGCAATATTTCGGATTTGGTAATGGGTGCAATATTTGGGCAAAACTGGGAATTTTGGAGTGACTATGAACATTCTTCTATAATTATCAGAATGAGATGTATTTACCTTTTTGTAAAGCAGAACTCCAGCCAAAAGAAAATAGCCCATTTTAAGGATATTACAAAAGAAGCCTTCAATACAGAGCTGCTGTACTTCGATTCCTTTCCATTCAGTGAAGGACACAACAAAGATTTTAGATCTTGAACTACTGGGTTATAACCCTAAGATCCTTGCGATGTCCTCCAGTGAGCTCAGTGAATATAAAATAACTGCCTGGAGTGGAAGCGTGTCATGTAGCCATTCTGTGACTCGTATATAATAGGTTTGGGGCAATAGACTACATGTAATCCCTGGAACAAATGGCACATGCATTAGGGGAATGGTGCACCCTTGTGCAGACTATTTTACGGGGAATTTAGACCTGCAAGTCAATGGAAGCTCTTAATGCCTTTTACTTGGCTTCATTCTCCGTGATCCTTACAAAGTGCTGATTTGAGGCCCAACACTTGATGGGTGAAACTTGGGTTTCATATTGATGTTGGTTTTGCACTACAATAAAGACAGACACAACACATGGAGGTTTGTAAACAAACTCTGGGTTAAAAACAAGACATTGGGTTCTTTAGAGGGGTGCAGTGCTTTATTCTGGGCATACATTAAGAATGAAAGTGCTGGCTGCCTAATGGTGCTGCAGAAAAGGAGATTAATTCTAAAGTGCAGTTATCAGTTAATTTAAGTCTGCATGTAGCGGGCACAAATCATACAGGTGTTTTTGCTTTAGTGTCTAAAAGTTCTGACGATGCTGCTTTTAAGTGTATAATTATTTTTCATGACAGTGTTCCCTTTTGCATTACATCAGCAATCTTTTCTCTTACATGCTACAGTATCCTAGTAGGAAAAGAGCTAGTGTTGATTCATCTAGTGACCTGACATTGCCCTGAACCAGGGTTCTCTTGCAGCCTTACAGGCAAAACATCAACATCATCAAGAAGTGTACTGTAAGGAGAATGTTAATATCTAATGAATATATCATTTATGAACTAACTGCTCATTGCAATGTATGTTTATCTTGCCAAAGTACTTTGTGGAGCACGTTCCCTTCAGCACAAGTTTTTTTGTATTGCACACTCGCATTGCCTATACAGAATTCCACCACAGCGGCAAAAATATTACAATATTTAATTCCTGCTTTCTTTGGATAAATCATTTCTTTTTAATGTTCCAGTTTCTTAAAACATCTTGGCTTTCAAAACTAGGTTACTAGGTGTTAAGCTGCAAGCCTCTAATATGACATATAATTCTTTGTGGAATAACTTCAATTTGTGCACAATATCTAGAAGAAGAAAAATACAGCATACAGTTTCATTTAGCCGCAACACTGTGTGCAGCTTTAAAAATGTTTTTGAGAAAGTTTCTATGAAATCTTTAGAAATGTATTTTTCCCTTCATAACAGGGTAAAATATAGCTCTTTTGAAGGAAAAACATGGTATGAATGATTTGTGGCTCTTTTTTTTTTCTTTTTAATGTAACCTTTTTGTGTGCATTTTTATTTAGTGCAGTTTGGGTGAAACTGTGTGCGTGTGTATATAAAATGTGTTGTGTATGCTGATAACACCTAAAAAGCTATGCCTTCATCAAGTTCTCTTTTTCTGTTTTACAATGTAAACTCTTGCTGGCATTTAGAAGTTTACCCCCCCCCATATTTTATTTCTGTAAGTATTATTTTTTATTACAATTCTGGTGTAACTTCTGAAAATGTGTAAAATAAATTCTTTTATGTGCAACCTTTTTGCTTCTCAATTTCTTCTAGATAGGTTTTCCTGCTTTTGTGTAATGGGACTGAATAAGTTAACATGGTCACTGCATCATCTGCATATGTTCTAGTAACAAAGAACAGTTGTAAAAAGGCACAAAACACATTTTCCAAAAAAAGAACAAAAACAAAGTTTAATATTTAAAGGAGAACTATGAGGTGAGTGCTTTTCACTCACCTCATAGTTGTAGCCAGCCTGTGACAATGAGACTGTCACAGGTCGGCTCAGTAGATCGGGAGTTGAGCGAACACATACCGGCGTTCGCTCACCTCTCGATCCTGTCACAGCTCTCTGCGTGACAGGGTAGGGGCGGTATACTGAGCCTAGGGTGATGGGAGGATGCTAGTTTGTGACATTTCCTTGCTACTAAATATTCCACAACCATCTATTAGTGGTATTATAACAAAGTGGAAGCAACTGGGAACAACAGCAACTCGGCAACAAAGTGGTAGGCCACGTAAAATGACGGAGCGGGGTCAGCGCATACTGCGCAGAAGTCGCCAACTTTCTGCAGAGTCAATAGCTACAGACCTCCGAACTTACAGGTGGTCATAATAAACTGGCCACTCTGTGTGTGTGTGTGTGTGTGTGTGTGTGTGTGTGTGTGTGTGTGTATATATATATATATATATGTGTGTGTGTATATATATATATATACACATATTTAGCTGGAGTTCACATGTGGTAGCAGCTGCCCGGTCTACTGCCTAATCTCACATTTTATCCCCCACCTTCATAATGTGCATAACAGTTCTCATTCTTGAGGCGGTTTACCTTCTATTTTACTATTGTCCAACTTCCTATTTGTAACAGTAATAGGCAGTGGGTTTGGTTTACTAAAAGAGTAGTAAATGGTAGCTAGGCTGCAGATTATTAGATGACTGAGGTGAACAGAAATTCATTTTATTCAGTAAGCTAAATAAAATCCCAGTTACTTTAGTAAATCAACCCCGGTGTGGCAATGTCAGGCATTTGATAGGGCATCAAATTTAAAGCAACAGCTTTTTGCTTCGATTTTTTTTCTTTTTAATTTTGTTACACTCGTGTTAAAATGTACATGTTGGGCCTGAAAATTACTTTAAACCTTCACAATCTATTTTCTGAAAGCAGAGAATAAAAATAGTAGAAGTTGCATTTTTTTATTTTATTCCACACAGTAATTGCAATACTGTTTATCAAATCTTTATTTTCAGTAAAAACATACATTCAAATGAACTTTAATGCACACAAACACAATAGAATACCTAATTTTCGGTAAAATATAAAAGATTAGGTTGCATCGAGTAAATGGATACGAAATATGTTTATCTTCAAAATGACATCTGTGGAATAGTGAAAAACGTCTTCACCCAAAATTGTCTACAGGCAACACTTTAAAAGCCTTATCATTTTACAGTTGGTGCGTGATGGACCTAGAATCATTACGCTCACTCTGGCTATCCCCTCTTAGCTGTGCCCAGAACAAGCTTACCCATTAGCACGTTTCTCCTTACAGTCTGTTTCTGTGACAATTCAAAATTATATGATTTCCCATCACTCTGTACTGTAAACAATGGTCTTTAGGATATACAGTAGTTGGGGTTAATCTCCCCAGAAGGGGCACAGATGGTAATTTAAAAAAATGGCTTTGGCTTTACATGCGCCCTAAGCTAAGGTTTGTCTGGATGTCATACAAACCTGAATGGCTTGGTACAAGTATTCTGCAACCCTTAAACTGTATGCTTGGTCCCTATTGGGGGTCAGCTAGTGTTGGAGCCACGATTAGCCTGACGGCCAGGGAAGAAGCCTTTTTCAGGAGGTTTACAATGGCAACTTTCATACTTAGTCCTGAGTTCCTGAAGTTGAGCTGTGGCCTTCACCCTTTTTACACTCAGCTGTTGCTAGAGAGGCTGCTATTTATTATGGGCATGGATCAGCAGTGAAGGAGTTGTAGGTCCTAATCAAGACTTTTTAATGAAAGTGTATCTAAACCCAAAAACACAAATGTACTGTATTGCAGCTTACCAGTTCTTAATAGAGGATTTGTTTTCTATTTCAGGCTTTTTATGATCACCTGGTAATCCAGCAAATAATACTTCCACCGTAGGTTTGCCATGCTCAGTCACTCCACTGCATCTATAGAGTGAGCCATGGCTGGACTTGCACAAGACTTCCTTTCCTTTACATGAAAGGGGGGTGGATGAGTAGTCTACAGGGACTAATGCATCCACCACATCTAAGGACTTACAAACTGCTGTATATTACATTTTGTGATTGTGCGTTTAAATATCATTTAAAGGAAACCTGTACTGAAAGAAATACAAAGGCTTCCATTACTGACCACCTACTAGTTACCTGACTGGTTTCAGTTGGTTCTGAGTCACTGACCTGAAACAAACATGCAGCTACCAGTCAAGGTTTGGGCATCTATTGCTTTTTGTTTATCCATGCCAGTGGAACCATTAAATATAACCAAGTTCACATTTCAGGTTTCATTGTAGGTGCCCTACGGCTTCTTGAAAATGCAACTATCCATGCATATTAATGTTCTCAAGAAGGCAGATTGCTGCCTTGTGGCCCGACACTTAAAGTATGGGGGAAAAAAATAATAAGCATTCCATTCCTTGAATGGTTCCCATCAGCATTAAAATGATCCCATATTACATACAAATACAAAACAAAAATGCTCATGTGTAGGAAGTGTTGGATAAGCATATCCTTTTCAAATGACAGCTGCTGAGGGAGGAATCCAGATATAAACATGTGCTTGAAGCGTTCCACTCATTTGGGATGTTTACCGATGCTGGAAATCCTAACCTATTTAATAATGCTAAAATACTGTATGTTTCAGTGTAAGTTCATCATATAATACACATTTCAGATATCATTTCAGGATTTATATCAGAAATATTTCAAATGCCTTTCATTTAACATACAGCTGAAAATATTGGATTAAGATTTTCCTTTATACCGCTGACGTGAACATTTCAGTGTTCACATTCCTTTGAACTGCTGCATGATAGAAATCAACTGCTGATTGCGTTTTTCAATCATTTGCTGCTCTTCTTTCAACTTCTTCTGCTGTAGAAGAATTTCATCCTGAGTAGTAATTAGAAGACATTTGTGGATTACACCATACAGTTGATTATTATTACAGATTTACATTAGACGTGATTTAAAGTTGTCAAAGATGAGCAAATAGCTAAATGATTTCAGGGGTTAGTGTTAAAATATCTAACTCCCCCTACCCAAAAAAATGTAATATCGGTTACCAGTCCTTAAAGTGACACTAGACCCGGGAGTTAAATCTTAAAAATGCTTTTAAGTACCTTAACTATTAACAAAAGTAGGGCTGTTACTGTTTAAAATTTGCGTGTTCGATTAATCGAAAAACATTTTAATCGATTAATTATAACGCACATACAGATCCAACTACATTGGCCTATACACATACAGCACAGCAATGAAGTAATAAAATGAACTAGGATCACACTAATCCAGCACGTTATTAATCTCACGTGCCCCACTCAATATGGCCGCCGCTTGATCCTAGTTCATTTTATTACTTCATTGCTGTGCTGTATGTGTATAGGCCAATGCCTTGGCTGGAGCTCATGCAGAAGAACTTTTTTGTGCAAACCTCTTTAGTTGTAAGGAAAGCGGAAGTCAGGCGGTCCCAGAACTCGATAAGTTTGAACTTTCAATCGATCAGAATCTTATTTGTGGGTCACTCGGCTGTAGATCCTCAAATCATCTCTGAATTGGTGCTGACACTGTCCTTACTTCTGAAGGGTGGCTTCTTTTGTTCCCCATGGTCCCTATGTGTGTTGTAAAAGTAGTCACCACTCCAAGCTCACTCTGTGATGGACTACAATCTCATGTTTAGTTTACTCATTTGTATTGGGATTGTAGTCCATTTACTAGGCTGTTCTTACAGCTTTGTTCGTCTGTATCAAATCTTCTGCAAGCAGCTGCAGAACTCTATGAACCTGAATAACATCCTGTGCCCCCCCATGTACACCAAGAAAAGTATTTTGCAATAAGTAAAAGGTCCTACTTTTGCATGTTTTGGGCATAGGTAACTTTACCTATCCTCTGCAGATATTTAAACAACAGTTTGTCTTTTTTCTGCCAGATATTGGCAATACCATAAAAAAAGAATGGTGTATACAGCTATAAAAGCATCCAGTAAAGCATATACACTGAGTGGCCAGATTATTGGAGCGAGTATCATCAAAACAGCAGAATTTGTTAAATGTTCAAGAGCAGCTGTTGTTAAAGTGTTTAAAGACTGGACTGTCAGCCGAAAATCTGGGTCTGAACGTGCAAATTGTGGCCGTCAGCGACTAGTCAATGTTAGGGCAGAACGGAGAGTGGATGGACTGGTATAAGACAACAGAAGGGCAACAGTGCATCAAATGACTGTAGATCTTAATCAGGGATCCTCTCAAATGATCTCTGAACGCGCTTTTCGCCGTACACTGCATCGTATGGGATCTGGAAGCCGAAGGCCTGTTCCAAGACCTTTGCTCTCTGCAGTTAACAAGATAAAACGTCTCCAATTTGCACAGGAACACAAGGATTGGACAGTCGAGCATTGGAAAAAAAGTAATGTGGTCCGATGAATCACGTTTCCAGTTGCATCATGCAGATGGCAGAGTGAGAATTTGGCGGAAACAGCATGAAAGCATGCACCCCACATGCATGAGTACAACCCTTCAAGCTGGTGGGGGCAGTGTTATGGTTTGGGGCATGTTTTCCTGGCATGATTTGGGCCCTTTAATTCGTGTGGAACAACGTCTGAATAGCACAACATACCAAAGTATCGTTGCTGATCAAGTTCATTCTATCATGTTGATGGCGTATCCCAATGGAGATGGCTTCTTCCAACAAGACAATGCGCCATGCCACGGTGCTCGTATTGTGCAGGAGTGGTTTCAAGAACATGAGGGAGACTTGACCTTGCTTAGGTGGCCCCCACAATCACCAGATCTAAATCCAATTGAGCATTTGTGGGATGAAGTTGAAAGGCAGCTGGTTCCACAACCATCAAATCTCACAGAACTGGACAGTGCTATTCATCAGGCATGGTGTCAGATTCCTCGCATCACCTTTCAACATCTCGTGGAGTCAATGCCAAGAAGAATCGCGGCAGTATTGAAGGCAAAAGGTGGCCCAACGAAGTACTGATGGGGTGGTCATAATAATCTGGCCACTCATGTATATAGGCATATGTGGCGATTTAAATGCTATTCTATAAAGTTGTTACAGAATTTAAAACTAGTTTGGCGATAACTTCTCACTCTATCTTAGTCTTGATTGACGTCCGGAAAGTTTAGACCTGTTGTCGACTGAATTGTCTTGGTTGCCATGGCAACTGTATTTTCTTCTTAGCAGACTGGTTCCTTTTCTATATAGCATCGCCTTCTTAAAACAGATGGTAGTTACATATAATCACTTCCATTATATGTCCAAAAAGCAAGGTGTTGATATTTTATGTATTTTTTTTTATTCTTCTGTGGTCAAGCGTGCATCCAGGACTGCTAGTGTATAGCACAAATTATATAGTGTAATTCATTATGCCATTATAGTGAAGTCTTTGTAATTTATGGCCTAACTTCCTACCATCTGAAACATTGTACTGACCGGGCAGTGGAATAAATCTGAATCAAATTTGAACCACTGCTAGCAAACCAAGGCTGCTCCCTTTTTTTCTAACACTTCTGATATACTTGATTATATCCCTCACTAGTGGGATTCACTAGGTCTGTAGAGTGCTAGGTGTGTTAGGGTATGTTTAAGATCCACTCTTGCCACAGAACTTCTGGGAGAATGTCCTTTGGACAGATAAGATCAAACTGAAACTTTTCGCCAAATCAGCTCTATGTTTACAGACAAAAAAAAGTTTTCAAAGAAAAAAAAATTACCTTTTGCAAAACATGTTATGTTTTTGGGCAGCTTTGCTGCGTCTGGCACGTGGTGCCTTGAATCTGTGCAGGACTCTCCTTGATACCTATCAATGAATTTTGGAGCAAAACATACTGCCCAGTGTCAGAAAGATCTGTCTTAGTCGCACTTCCAACAAGATAATGATCCAAAACACACAGCTAAAAGGCACCCAAGAATGGCTCAGAACAAAACTATTCTGATGTGGCCTTCTACGAGCCCTGATCTGAAGCCTATTGTACATCTATGGAAAGATCTACAACATGCAGTCTGGAGAAGGCACCCATCAACCATGAGACAGCTGAAGCAGTTTTCCTTGGAAGAATGGATCAAACTATGTGCAGAAGTCTCACTGATGCCTCGTTCACACCAGATGCAGTGCGTTCCGGCCCGATTCTGGCCAGAACGCACTGCTTCGCATTGCGGCCGGCTCACTTTTTTGTGGGGTAGGAGGAGGCGTGGCGGTCCATTGAAGTGAATGGCACCGTAGCCATTCACTTCAAGCACTATTTTGTTCGGACCGGACCGCATGCATAATGTTCCTTGCGATCCCGTGCAGCCGATCGCATTGCGGCCGGAGGGCGTGCCTACTGTGCCATTCACTTCAATGGACTGCCAAGCCCCCTCCTGGCCCACCAAAATGTGAGCCAGCCGCAATGCGAGGCAGTGCGTTCTGCCCAGAATCGGGCCGGAACGCACTGCATCTGGTGTGAACGAGGCCTAATAGCTTCAAAAATCGTTTGTTTGCAGTGATTAGAAAAATCACAAAGATCATGCAACAAAATGAAAATTATTTTTGTCTGCTATTTTCATTTGTCTAACTATTTAAATTATAATACAAATCAAACACAGATGCCAATAACATTGGTCAGTTTCAAGTCATACGAGAGAAAATTGTGGGCTGTTTTCCTGTAAGGCTATAGACAAATGTGTCCACATTTGTAGTATTACCTGTTGATTCTGCCAGTAAGTCTGTTTGTTTATTTTTCACTTCCTTTAACAGACCAAGCCGTCCAACAAAAGTAACAGTTAAGAAGGCTGAGACCTACTATTTTACACTGACAGGCGTAAATCCCAAAAGGAACCGTTGCTGTAACTGCTTGGAAAGTGATAACTGGAGTTTGGGTTTAATTTGTTAATCACCTATGTGGGGTACATCTAAATAGACTAGTCCATCAAATGCTACCCTCTCCACAGGTTGATAATGCTGCTTTCCAAGGGTGGCTATGCTGCTCCTCTATAGATACAGTGGAGGAGTGAGTGTAGCCACACTAAGGCAGGAAGTGTGTTAGTGGCCAAAACACCAGGTGAAAAAGGAAACAAAAGCTTAACAAAACTCATGCATCACATCTATGGACTTGTAAGATACAATATATCAAATATTTGTTTTTGGATTTAGATGCGCTTTAAAAGCACTGCAATAGTGCAAAAATAGCTGAAGATCCTGCCAGAGATCCACTGAGCTCCCAACTTCCTGTTGTAAGATGGCAGTGCTGCTTTATCAGCTCTGTGAGTGTTTTCTCCTGCTGGACTATAAGACTATCCCTACCCCTCTTTTTCATTCTCTACATGAAAACATTTTTTTCTTTCCCAGAAAAGTAATGCTGAAGCATTGGCTCACAAGAGCCTGCCCTAACACTGAGGGCTTCATTTCAAAAAGTTCCTATACTCGTCAGCACCATCTAGGGGTGCTAGTGTTGTGCAAATAGCATCCACCTAGCAATACGCTGGGTGGAACTTTTATAAATGAGTGTAGGAAAAGGGCACTTGAGAGATGTAGTTGTAGGAGCTTGCAACAAGAAACTGACCAAGGACACCCTGTTGATTCCTTCTCCCAGCAGCTGACTCTGCAAGAACTTTATAATCCTGGTGATGACATCACAAGGAATAATAAAAGCAAGGTAAAAAGAAACAATATTCTGGGGCATGCTGTCAAGTGGGAGAGGGAGGTTGGGTGTAAATGTGGCTCATGGCTGGAGATCTATGAGTAAATGTTATGACATTCATGTTTCCTAGGTGATTCAGCACACCTTAAATTGGTTAAATCTCACATTTTGTTGTATAGTTGTGTATAGTTGTAAGCGAAAGCAGCCAGGGCAAAGTAATCTCTAAACACAGTATCCTGCTGACAAGACAAAAGTGCTGAAGCTATGCTGGCGTATCCCTCTACCCGTGTAGATTCTTGCAGCAACATACCCTCAGTTTACTGATCTCTCGTCTTTCCTTATCGTTTTCCTCTGCTCTTGCTTTGAGCCAAGCTTCGTTTTGTGTCTTATGTTTTTCCAACATTTCTTGGAGTTCCTAAACATGTATTCATTGAATAAACAAAGCAATGTTTAAAATAACCTTCTAAAAAATTCAAAGTCTCTTCTTTCAAGCTAAGTAAACCAAACCGATATAAACCTGTTGTTGAATTTTATTTTGCCTTTTAAATTCTTCCTTTTCTTGATAAAACGTTGCTTTCTCCTGTGCAAAATTTGCCCTTTCGCTAAAAGAAAAGAAAAGCATGAGCTGTATTTTGGATTGTACTAAAGAATCAAATATTAAAGAGGACGTAAAGACAAGGTTAAAAAAAAAAAAAAAAGCCCCCCTGGAGTATTTAGCGTGCACAGCATATTAACACAATATGGTAGACTTACTTACCTGAAGCGATCCCCTCCAGCGTTGTAATCCTCCCTCAACTGTTTTCCTGTGGGTTTAGCATCTTAAGCCCTTTGATTTGGCTGGCCAGCATGATGTAACTTGGGAGTTACTTCATCATGGCATGCTGGGTCTGTGCGCTGAGCTGCGCATGTTCAGCGTACAGAAAACAAATTCTGACAGGTAAATAGAAACTTTTATGGCAGAAGAGACTTACACAGTCTCTTCTACCATAGAAAGACTACCAATCAGCAATTTGGGGGGGGGGATGAACCAAATAACATGACAATCGTTGCCTCTTTGGAAAACAAGATGGTACATGCTTTTTATGAATTGTTGTACATGACAAAAAAATGTGTAAATCTGATAAACCTGTTTTCTAATCTAGACTTTCATGCCTGACCCTGTAGAAGGTCTTATTTACGTTTCTTCACTGCAGTCAAGCAATACAGTCTCTCCTCCAATTAAAGACACAGAAGCTCACCTCTAGGCTCCCTCCTCCAATTAAAGACACAGAACCTCCCCTCTAGGCTCCCTCCTCCAAGTAAAGACACAGAACCTCATCTCTAGGCTCCCTCCTCCAATTAAAGACACAGAACCTCACCTCTAGGCTCCCTCCTCCAATTAAAGACACAGAACCTCACCTCTAGGCTCCCTCCTCCAATTAAAGACACAGAACCTCACCTCTAGGCCCCCTCCACCAATTAAAGACACAGAACCTCACCTCTAGGCTCCCTCCTCCAATTAAAGACACAGAACCTCACCTATACTAGCTCAACGACAGTTTAAGGTACTATTTAAAATTGATTTACATGTATTTTTAATGAATACATAACTGGATAAAACTGAGTCTTTTATATCTTCCTACACATAGGATTCAAAGAGTTTACAGAAGCAAGATGATCTTTGCCCACACGGCCCGCTGTCACAGAGGTAGAAATGCCCCCACCTCGGGAACATCAGTAATGGGGGAGTAGGGATGCAACTAGGGCCACAGCCCCTCAGCACTCTCATAATGTAGTCAGTAGAGCTTGGCTTTCAGTTTGACAGCCAGGCCCCGCTCTGGACACACAGCTCCTGTGTGAACACTGTTTGCAGCCCTCATTCATAAATGCACTGTAATAATATGTACTATTCTCTATGGATTGAGATCTTAACTCTGATTTGGCCATTCCCAGGACATTACCATTGTTGTTTTTATCGCATTCTCGTTTAGTTTTGTGTTTATGTTTGGGACCAGTGTCTTGTCTAAAAACAAATTTTCTCATAGCAGGAGCAGATTGCCCCATGTTTTCCTTCAGATTTTCCCTGGGCCATTCTGTATTCAGTCTACTCTTTACCCTCAACAAGCCTCTTAGGTCCTGCTGCATTGAAACATCCCCACAACATGATGCCCACCACCAGGCTTCTCGGAAGGGATGACGTGCACTACTAGGCTTATGCCAAACATAATGTTTAATCTGATGGCCAAAGGGCTCACATAGGGTCTTAGACTATAAAGCCTTCTTACAGATGATCTCAAAGTCTCCTTCATGCCTTTCTGTAAACTGAAGGTAAGATGTCATTTTAGTTCTAGTTAACAATGACTTTCTATTTGTCACTCTCCCATACAGCTGAGACTATTGAAGCACCTGGGCATCAGCTGTTGTATGCATAGTCTCTCCAATCTCAAGCACTGAGGCATACAAGTCCTTCAGAGCGGCCATAGATCTCTAAATGGTCTCCTTTCATTCGTTTCCTGCTTGCAAAGTCTCTTGCTTATGATGGTAGACAGCCTGCTCTTGACAAATATACAGATGTGTCAGACTTTTTCCATTTCCTAATTAATGATTTAACTACGTTTTAGGGACATTCAGTGACTTAAAAATGTTCTTGTATCCATCCCCTGACATGCTTTTCAAAGACCTTTTCACAGAGTGAAGTTGGCCATACACCTATAGATTATCTGCAGATTTTCTATGGTCAGATGGAAAAAGTGCAACAGATTCCTCCATCTACGCTAAACTGTGTGGATGGAGGAATCTCCCGCTGGGCCAAGCTTCAGTACCTGGTTAGTCGGCCCTGCTGGCACTCAAAATCCCTGAACGATGCCTGCATCCAATCAGATTGTTCAGGTATTTTGAGAGCCAGCAGGGCCGACTAACCAGGTACTGAAGCTTGGCCCAGGTGGAGATTCCTCCATCCACACAGTTTAGCGCAGATGGAGGAATCTGTTGCACTTTTTCCATCTGACCATAAAAAATCTGCAGAGAATCTATAAGTGTATGGCCAGTTTAAGAGTGGTCTATACTGACCAGTCAGTTTTTTTATTATTAAAATCAGATAAGCAAGGATCAGCGAAAAGTGAGGATCTATGGTTGCTATGGGCTACTACACTGTTTATACTGTATAAATAAGAGTCTATAAGATGTTCAGACTTCTTGACGAAAAACATGGCAAAGAACACATATATGCTGTTTGTGCAAGCTCTATAGAAAAAACATACTGCAGCTCAGAAACAAGGTTTGATTAAAAAACTATTTGCATGCGGGCACTTTTCAAATGCTGCCTGTGAGGGCCACCAACTAAAAATATTTCAATTGGAATCGTACTCAGAAGAAACAGCTTATATATCTGCTAAACAACATCCTTAATCCTGCAGGGGAAATTCCTGAATGCAACCATTGTTTAATAAGTAATGCCGTTAAATATACTGTATTATTAGAATGCTTGGCTTCCTATGCTTCATGTTACAAAGAAGCCAGATGGCGGCAGTAGAGGACCAACTCCAACCTCAATGCCACATCTGTTGATGGAACATTTGGCTAGGATGTTATGGAGCACAGAGTTTGAGTGAGCAGACAAAGGAACATTAATATAGGTTTTATACATCAACCAGTGTCACCGGAAAGAAAATCAAAATATAAACTTTCTTATAACAAAACTGTAGCCTATGCAGAGGAAAACTAGCACCAGTTTTGATAATGTATCCCTTAAACTATTGACGATTATCTCCTTGTTATCATTTTCATTTCTGCAATCAGACTGGTGAGTGGTTGAAATGAAACCTGAGCAGAGAGAAATACAGTATGGAGGCCGCTATTGCGAGCTTGATTTTTTTTTTAAGGTGCAGGCTCCATACAAGTTAGTCTTTGTATTTCTCTAGGCATAACATAATTTAAAAGGGAATTCCACTTTCCCAGAGGGGGGCAAATTGGAGGGGGCAATTCCCTTTTCCTAAATTCACCTGGAAAAGTGGAATTACCCTTTAGTGTGATCTTGTGTTTTGCCCATGCAGATAAAAGCAACAGGTTTATTAGCACTCCAGCAGCATATACACACCTTTCCTTTGCTCCCCTGCTAGTCTGACTAGCCACAGGAGCAAATAAAGACGATCTGTGTGTAGCACACTAGTGGAAAGAGTGCTATTAAATTTAGTAATAATCAGATTGTATGCGGTCTGATGCTGATTTGTATTCTGGGTTCATTTGGCTTCTCCTAAACAGTCTGTCCTTGTTTGCCAATTGTCTGCTGCTAGAGGTACTGCAGGGTGTGCCGTGGTCACAGAACAGAGCAACTAATAGGAGACTGCTATGAGTGGATATCCCTCTCCAGCCAATCACTGTTAAATGATGGCCAGTGGTGCATGCTGAGGGAGGAGATAAATACTTATGGGGACGACGGCCATGCAAGCTCTCTCTTCCTCCGCCGGGCCCAGCCAGTGGGGAGGCTGCCATGGATTGCCTGAGATGGCTAGGCCTGAAGCCTGGGGACTAGCCGTGTGATGACCCTGGAGACAGCAGCAGGTCCAGTGACTGCTACTGAAGATAAGGATTAGTAACTTCTACCTCAAGTAATGCAGTGTCAGGTTTTCTACCTGGTGTGCATAGAGACAGTAACCACACCCTGCAGTGCCATGGAGTCTACATCTGTCTGGATGACCCTAACACTTCTCTCTCCCTGAAGTTCTTCAATAAGACCCCATTCACACCTAGCGACATACCTTTTGCAGCGGATCCGCACGGCCGGGATAGCGCGACTTTCGGGGCGACGATCCAGCGACGGTAGCGCGACCTTCCCCGTCGGGCTCCATAGAAAAAAAGCAAAATCGCGCAAAATCCGCCGAAAAAAGGGTCCGGTAGAAGCGACTTGCGACCGCGACGAGCGACGCGCGACATGGAGTTAAGACAGCTCCATTGAATAACATTGGCCGGCGACTTCTCGCGATATCGCGCGGCAAAAATGCGCGATATCGCGGCGGAAATCGCGCGACAATTCGCTATATGTGAACGGGGCCTAAAGGTTTCAAGCATCATAACTACTGTCTGGACCTCACTTCAATCAATCACCAGAAAGGGCGGTAAGTGCTGATGGGCAAAGCCAGTGAATTTACCCCCGGACATAAAGATTTCAGAGTTGCTGTAACCCATAGCAACTGACCCTAGTACTCATGGTGTGCCGTGGATTCATAATAGAGGTTTCTTAAAGAGGAAAGACAGGGAGACCTGTTATCTCATTATACTGTAGATCACCCCTTCAGAGCCGTACTGGGATAGCACTGACCGAGGAAGGGGGGCGCTATATGTGTAATCTCTAAATTGCTCTAGTCTGGGCTTACACTGGGCTTAGAATTCTCCCACTTCTTTATGACAGCACTGGGCCAATCACCAAGCACCAGTGCTGTCACATGAGAGGAATGAGAGTTAGTCACATGATCCCCATACCCAGATGTACCAGCTATTTTCTTCAGCAGTAAAGTGAAGAAAAAGTGAGTATTTGCATACTGTAGATAGCATAGCCGAAGCACAGATTTGGTTTAAATCTCTTCTAAGGCATCGTTCTATGAAGTGCCTAACTAGATAATTGAAAGTATCATTTTATGTGAACTTGAGTGGAGGAAGTTACAAAACATGTTTGTTTTCAAGATCACAAGTACAAGATAGGTAACCATGCCTAAAATATATTCAGTGCAGCTAAGAACACTACACTGCCTGTACGCCTGGATTTAGCTAAGCAAATAGGATCATAGGTTTAGCAACGTTTTGTGCACAAAAAAATGAGGTTTCCTTTAGCTTAGGGTGAGGTGAAGCTCTGCTGACTCCCATTATCCAATCATGTGCAAACAAAGATACCTTTCTTGTTTTTTTCTTGCACATGATTGGGTATTCTTTGCAAAGTGAAATGTCACAACATTCAGCAAGCTAAGAAAAACTTTCACTGCAAAGTGAAAATTCCTTTGCAACAGCCTGTTTGCCTATGGTAAATCAACCCCATATTATTAATCAATATACTTTTTGAACAGTAACAAAGAAATAGATTGGTAAGCATAAAAGATATAAAATAATTAACTTACTGATCAAATTTTTCAAATTCCGAATCTAGTAAGGTAAAGGCCAATTTTATTTTTTCAATTGCTTGGCCACGTACAAATGTAAAGTTGCTTTCTTTAAATTCCTATTAGAAGAAATATATAACTTTAGATGAATATATACATATAAAAGCGACCAACATAGCATACTTTGAGGGCCTGAGTGTAACATTTTATAGATTAGATTCTAATTCTATAGATTAGAATCTATTCTATGATTAAACCCTCATACCAATTGACCTTCACTAGGAAACACTGTGGGCATTCAACACGTGCAACTTGTAGACTATTGATTAGAATGAGGTGTAGTTCTGTGATGTTTGTGATCAGGGTTATTTTGTGCCTACTATCCCCCGGTCCTGAGAATAAAGGAATATAAGGCCTAAGCTAGACAGGGGTATTGCAGTTTGTGAGGCTTATACCAGAAGTCAGTCGCTCGCTCTCGCTCTCTCTCAGAGGGATTCTAATGTGAAAGAGGGGCTTGGATCTACATTTGTTTGTGTTTTTGCATTAGATCCCCATTTAAAATCTATACAAAAACCCAGAGGCGTAACTAGAAACCCCAGGGCCCCGGTGCAAGAAACCATTGAGGGCCCCCCCCCAATAAAAACATGATTTTGATACCTTTTTTTTTTCTTCTTCTATTAAATGAAAAGTATGTTTTTTGTTTTTTTTTCAGGGCTAGTTCACACCAGCTCCAGTGTGTTCCGGCCGATTTAGTGCTGGAACACACTGGATTGCAACCCGTCCAGCTCACTGCGTTCTGGGGTGTTCCAGCAATGCATTATAATGTAAATAATAACAGCTTTTTAACCCCCCCCACAAAACACACACACATTTGTGCATCCCTGCTTAATAATATAATGTATTGCTGGGACTTGTGGTCCTGCATAGTTGGTGCTATTCTGTATTGCTGTATAATCATTATACAGTAATGCAGAATAGCTCCATTGTGGTCCTGCATAGTTGGTGCTATTCTGTGCAGAATAGCTCCAACTATATAGGACTACAAGTCCCAGCAATACATTATAATGTAAATAAATATAAAATTATTTTGTCTTCCACCCCTTCCCCCCCCCTTTTCCCCCCACACACCGGACTTACCTGACTCCTACAGCCGCTCAGCTTCCTCGTCTTTGGCGGCCAGGGGCGGGGCCGAGTGCAGAGGGTCCGTCCTCTCCAAGTCCCAGCTGAAGAATGTGCTGCCTGGCGGCGCCTGCTGTGTCGGTAGCGGCCCCGCCAGGCAGACAAGTGACACACAGAGGCGCCTCTCTATCCCGCACAGCCGCTCATACATGCAGAGGGGCGGGGGATGGAGAGGCGCTATCTGGAGGGGGGGCATGAGGAAGCTTTCGGGCCCCCCCCCCCCCCAACAGGCGGAACGCCAGGGCCCGGTCGCAATTGCGACCCTGGTAGTTCCGCCAGTGCAAAAACCACGTCATACCCTTCAGTATCTGTTACCTACTGTGTTGCTGACAACTGTACTTTCACATACTGATGAGTTGTCACATCCAAAAGGTAATAAAAAATAAAGTGCAACTTATTTTGTTTTCCTTACACTCAAAAAACAAACTAACATAAAAGGCATGTATAATAAATATTTACCCAATTTTGGTTTTCATAATTTCTTTGAATACAAGCCTTGCATTCAGGGAAAGAACAAGTCATTCACAGGACCCATAGCACAGAAACATCCTGTGGTTCTTCATGGGCAGTGACAGCATTATAAAGGTCATTGGTGGCATTTCCTGCCACTTATCATCTATTCATAAATTAAGCATATCCATTTTCCGTAATTATTACTTGGGTACCACAGGCCATAAAACCTAATTCTGTGATTTCTGTGAAGCCCATGTAGTTTCAAGTATTATGGATCTGCCTGTACTCAGCAAAGAATGATTCATAAGAAAATCATTAAATGGACACACGCTGAACAGTGCGAGATGGCACAATTCCCTGCTTATGTTAACCCTTGTTATTTTTACCAAAGAATATAGATGATAACAAGCTGTCAGTTTATGACAAAAGTATAATTCAGACAAAAACATTTTTCTAGGTATTCAAGTTCACACAATTCTACATACAAAGCACTTGTTTTGGTTTATATATAGAACAATGAATATTAGTGTAATATCGGCCACAACTTACAGGAATCGCCTGGGCAGCAGAGAACCTTGCTGGCTGTAGTTCACTTAATTGATATTTCACTTTTGGGATTTTAGTTGGTGTATATCTGTATGATCAAAATGATTTTAACAGTAACTAAACATCACAATTGCAAGAAATCTGGAAACATGACCCAGCCGTATAAAGCAGATTGTCTTGAAGTAAGAAAACATCATTTGTTCATCAAGTTGGTATTTAATAAAGGATAATATACAAAGATAATATTATTTATAAGGCATTCCCACACGACATTTCTGATGGGGATTAAAGCAGTGTAGGTTGTACTGTTCATTAGGATAGTAAGGCAGATAACGAGTCATGATGATCGCAATCAGATTTAGCAACACTGGTTTAATCACTTTGTTATAGCCCACCCGGAATGAGTTGCCGCTCTAGCTCTTCCACTTGCCATCAAATGCTAGTTTATTGAAAGCTGACTCAGCTTTGCGTCACTTAAATGTACAGATTGCCTGTCTCCAAAGTACATACCCATTGCTTATGCCTTGAATACCACATTCAAGGAGAATGTCCTTCATTACTGTAAGGAAAAATAAATCAAGCAATTATAAACAAGCTAATTATATACATTGTAATGAAGCTCTCAGTAAAACTCAATGTCATGTCATTTATACGTAAGTTATCAAATATAAACATTTATGTGTCCCACATTTTACTTTATTTATTTTTTTGCAGTAGAGAAACAGTAAATCCAGGAAGCGGGTATCATTATGATATACATTTATGAATATTTTTAATGTTTCTAGAAATAGTGCTATGGGGCTGCACAATGGTGTAGTGGTTGGCACTTCTGTGTTGCAGCACTGGGGGTCCCTGGTTGGAATCCTGGTCAGAACACTATCTGCAAGGAGTTTGCATGTTCTCTCTGTGCTTGTGCAGGTTTTGTTCGGGTAATCTGGTTTCCTCCCTTTATGTATGCATGTGAGATAGGGACCTTAGGTTGTAAGCTCCTTGAGGTCAGGGACTGATGTGAATGTGCGCTATAGCTCTATATAAATAGCTGTAATAGATAAAAATTGATGAACTTGTTTACAATGAATGACTCACTTGGCTGTCTGTCTGATGGGTTTATGAGCCTCATAGCCATGACGTCATTGAAGTCACTTTCTTTATTCCTTCCACCAAATATGTACAGCTTTAAAATAAAAGTTAATGTAAGAGCAGCATGTGATACAAATGAAAATAGCAGCATGTAGCATATTTGATTTGCAAACATCTGTTCTAGCAGTGATCAAAGATGTGTACAGTCCAATTTTAAGACAGATGAGTTATTTCAACTCCGTGTGTCATCTTCTGATGATAATTTTCTTAAAAAGAAATGACAAAACGAAGTGTGCATTTAAGGAAAGTTGTAAACCGTAAAAGTTAATGAGAATGGGAAAAATATGTAATAGTTTGTCTGCCGGCTATTACATGCCATTCTGAGTAGCTGCATAAAGGGATTAGAATGGTAATACAGAGATGACTGAAGAAGCTTAAGCTGAGCTGGCCAAACACAGATACATTAGTGTGTTCCAAGCAGAATACAAAATATTAGGAATAGCATTCTGTCATCATGTTAAAGCCATAAATGCTGAGTATGGTTGGTGGCATTGGCTTATATAGAATCCTTAATTGTTATCTTTATTTACTAACTTTTTCAATAGATTTTAACCTCCCTGGCGGTATTCCCGAGTGTGGCTCGGGGTTAATTTTCAGTACCAAAAGCGGTAACCCCGAGCCACACTCGGGATTGCGCAAAAGTGTCACCTACCTTGTCCCTGCAAGCCCGCGTTGTCCTCTGCTGTGTGCGCCCAGCCGATGCCGGCATTCGGCTTTCAGTTTCGTTTTCAGGCGTCACAGCGGGGGGCGGAGCCGGCGGGAAATTCAAAAGTGCAAACATGACATTTACACAGAATACACAGAATACAATGTAATCTGCTATAATTACATATATGTATCAAACTATTTCACTTCAATTTTGTCCAGTGCCCTGCCTGAACTTTTACTGTTCTTTCTGCCTGGAAACTTGAGAACGTCCATGGCATCCAAAAAGCGTCCCTTTAGGTCAAAAGCAGTTTTAGACCAGCTAGAAAATAGCGATAGTAAATTAGAATCACTTGCAGAATTGAGAGATAGAAAAACAATGTACCGCTTTGGCATGCTAAAATCCTGCATAATAATACCGCCAGGGAGGTTAAAGACAAATAAAAACATAAAATGTTGCTGGTTTAAAGTGTATTTTCACTTTTGCAGTCAAATTTGAGAAAATCTGACTATACTGTATGTTTGTTATGTGTTCCCATTTACACAGCATACCTAAAAAAGAATAAAAAAACATTTCTTACCTTTCATGTTTTTTTGAAATGGGATTATATTTAAGTTACTGTTTGCAATTTCAGAAAGGCAAAGATGGTTAGTTTCCCCTCATCAACATACAATGCAGAATCCAAGCCCTAAGATATTTAGCCATTTGTTAGGACAGAAAGTGCTGAAATCTAGTTTACACAATGGAAAGTCTCAAGCGTACTCAGATGGGGGGGATAGGTGGGGTAGCCTGTGCTGTGCAGCTCCGAGTTAGCAGGTAGAGGTATCCTGCGAGGTCACTCCATTCTTCACTCCTGCCCTTGGCTTGGAGTTGTATCCAAGAGGTTGTATCCTCAAAACACGTTGCCATTGTCCCATCTTATACTGATCTTTTAATTAGCACCACCAGCATCTACTATTCCACCCTGTTTTGTGCTTCATGTGATCTCCTGTAAGCCGGTTCCCTCCTCACTGAGCACTGACACCACTGCCATCGCATCCTGAGTGTGACCTGAAGCCCTACACTCAAGTGAATTTCCCAGTGACCAGTTACCACTCTGCTTGGACCATCACCCTCAGCGTGTACATAGCTGCAGCTGGACACTGTGATGCTCTCCCTCCGAATGCCTGGTTAAAGTTCTTACATACTTACCACTGCCACTTTATCCTGCTGAAACGAGCTGAGGTTGCAGCTCTCCGTAAGATTATTGACCACCAGATGATGCCCTCTGCAGTATTGACGGGCTCTTTCTCAAAGTGCATTTCTTCTCTTACTCCTATTTCAAATATTGTCACAGTTACCCATGAATATGTAATTGTACCCCTGGACACTGACGGAGTCATCTTCACTGGGCAATTTGCTGTATTGTGCATTTACACCAGCACCATGTGAGTGCAATATAATTTTTCTGTCACAAATTCATATCCCCCATTTATTGCACTAGGTGGTTGCGCTCGTGTTTTATCTCTTATTTTACAGTGAAATCTGGTTTCACACTGTTTAAAAAAAATCTGCCCCAGTTTGTGTGTAGAGGGGAGATCAGAGACCCGGCGGGGAGATATCTCTTACTCTCTGGAGTATTACATGACACAGAAGTCACTATCGTTACGTACTATGCCCCCAACACGGATCAATATCCATTCTTCACACACCTCTTACAATTGATCGCACAACATCAAAAGGGCACATTAATACTCTGCGGAGACACCAACTCAGTACTGTTCCCCTTTCACGATAGGTCGGACTCCTCCTCTAACACCCGCCCTCAAGCTCTACGCTCCCTCCTAGCGCGTAACTCACTCATTGACAGCTGGTGGGAAATGTGCCCCGCTGAACGTGATTATACTTTTTACTCTAACCCCCACAATTCCTTCTCTCGTATTGATAGACCGCCCGACATATCCAAGTATGAATTCAAACTTCTCACTCTTACTGCCACTAAACAGGTTATTGCTAAAGCTTGGCTCTCCAATACACTGAGCATCTCGGCAGTTAAAAATAGAATCCACTGGATCCTAATTAACGAGAAGCTGACTGCAAAATTACTTTCTCCAATCCAGCAATTTCTCCAAATTTGACAGAACTTGGGAACCATGGGTCGCACATTTCTTCCCACCGAATTTTGATAGAACATTATTAGACGTATGAACAGGTGCCCTAGCTCTCACCACTGCCTGCCACAGGCCAAATAACCCAACCTAGATGTGCACTTCCCCCAACCTCTCCTCCCTCGCCCTTTCCATCCAACCTCCCACACTCTCTTTCCCCCCTCTCTTTTCTTATCCTTCTACTGCTGCTAGGGCTGTATAGCAGCTCCTTCTAAAGCTACAACCTACCGCTATACTTCTAATTTCACGCTAACTCTTCGTAAAAATCCTGATTACTATTGGTCGGTCCCGTTGGCCTGAACCATGTCTCTGCCAGCCGATGAGAAAAAACACTCTGACGCACTCTACCACAATTGTACGCTGGAATATTCATAACGTATTCAATCTTAGTAATAATCTTATGTTAATCGCATTGATTGTCTGAGGCGTGTGTCCTACCATCTGTTCTGGTAGAGCCTGCAATGTTTGTACTTTCTGAATCTCTATATGCTAATAAAAATTTATTGAAATGAAAAAAAATCTGCCCACACTGTACAGACAGGGTTAATTATGGTAAACATTACCTTCACAGCCCCCTCCTTAACCTTACATTGGGGGAGGTAGGTAGCAATTAAAAAACACTTAAAAGTAGCAGCAGCAATTGTCTGCTATGTGTATGGGAACATGGAACATAATAATATAAAATAGGTGTTTTCACAATTTGGCTGCAAAAGTGGAAATACACTTTAAGGTAGAACAGCACTTTAAAATGTAGATGAGCGCACAGGGGACCAGACCAGACAAGAGTTCTCACATAATAAGCATAAGAGGTTTCTTAAAACCCACCTTGATTATCCAAACTCACAATATAACATTTTCAAGGCAACATTTCAAAAAAAAGAATAAAGATACACCAGCAAAAGGGTGCTCGTTTGTTGGGGCACACTCAGGACTTAATATAGAGCATGCCATTGCAGTAGCAGAGAGCATAGGAGTGTCCATAGGAGAGGGAAACAGAGTGGATGGAGTTCCCTTTTAACAGTAAAAGCATCCAACTCTATACTTACCTTCAGATCAGTGGACAATGAGACACAGGAGTCTACACATAATGGGTGGCGCTCAGTCAGAGGAGCATCCTTGCAGGTTTACAGGTTCGCAGCTTTTGTATTTGAGCCTATAAAAAACCTAGTACCACTGGCATTCTGCACCCAAACATTATACACTGACCATATTATTATGACCACCTGATGTCTGTAGGCAAATTAGCTATAATTTCGGGCTGAAGTTGCTAGAGGGCCAGACTATTATAAATAGAGAAGCAGGTTGTTTTCCACGACAGTAAAGTGATTTTTTTCTGAAGCTATGGGTAAACAACGCGATTTAACAGCCTTTGAACGTGGGATGATTGTTGGCGCGAGCCATGGAGCCAGTATCAGCAAAACAGCAGAATTCGTTAAATGTTCAAGAGCAGCTGTTGTTAAAGTGTTTAAAGACTGGACTGTCAGCCGAAAATCTGTGTCTGAACGTGCGAATTGTGGCCGCCAGCGAATAGTCAATGTTAGGGCAGAACGGAGAGTGGCAAGACTGGCACAAGGCAACAGAAGGGCAACAGTGCATCAAATGACTGCAGATCTTAAGCAGGGATCCTCTCAAATGATCTCTGAACGTACTGTTCACCGTACACTGCATCGCATGGGATATGGAAGCCAAAGGCCAGTTCCAACACCTTTGCTCTCTGCAGTTAACAAGATAAAACGTCTCCAATTTGCACAGGAACACAAGGATTGAACAGTCAAGCATTGGAAAAAAGTCATGTGGTCCAATGAATCACGTTTCCAGTTGCATCATGCAGATGGCAGAGTGAGAATTTGGCGGGAACAGCATGAAAGCATGCACCCCACATGCATGAGTACAACCCTTCAAGCTGGTGGGGGCAGTGTTATGGTTTGGGGCATGTTTTGCTAGCATGATTTGCGCCCTTTAATTCGTGTGGAACAACGTCTGAATAGCACAACATACCAAAGTATCGTTGCTGATCAAGTTCATCCTATCATGTTGATGGCGTATCCCAATTGAGATGGCTTCTTCCAACAAGACAATGCGCCATGCCACGGTGCTCGTATTGTGCAGTGGTTTCAAGAACATGAGGGAGACTTTACCTTGCTTAGGTGGCCCCCACAATCACCAGACCTCAATCCAATTGAGCATTTGTGGGACGAAGTTGAAAGAGCCATCAGGCAGCTGGTTCCACAACCATCAAATCTCACAGAACTGGGCAGTGCTATTCATCAGGCATGGTGTCAGATTCCTCGCATCACCTTTCATCATCTCGTGGAGTCAATGCCAAGAAGAATCGCTGCAGTATTGAAGGCAAAAGGTGGCCCAACGAAGTACTGATGGGGTGGTCATAATAATCTGGCCACTCAGTGTATATCCGTCACCCAGGAACCCCTACCATTGCAGCCCTGACTCTGAACCTCCCTGCTTCCCAGCACCCCTGAGACTGAACCCCAACACGCCAGACACTGCATCTTTCAGTCAGCTAGCAACCCTGGCACTGCATACTCCATCACTTCCTCCTCCTTTGCAGGGACATGCAGAGAAAAGTATGGAGTTTCTGGGCTCTCTAACCACTTCATCCTCCCTCTGGTGACATCACCTCCTCCCCAGCACAGCCTGTAGAGGCCAGTCCTTGGCTTTTGGGTGCCCTCTGCACATTGTGTCTGTTCCTGGAGCAAGGGTAGAGGAGGTGCACACTTTTGGACTGAGATGAAAAGGGAAGCCACATTGAGATGCGCAGCATTTCCATTACTACAGAACCCTGAAATTACGGAACTATTCAAACTTCTATAAATGAAGGGGGAAACTCCATTAAGAACGCAACAGTACCCAAACAGTTGTTCTTCAGGCTGCTGTAAAGTCGAGGTGGTCAGCTATAAGCTGAATCATTACAAATGCTTTGGAACATGGCTACAAGTTTAATTAGAACACCTTTCATAACCACTGCTTATAGAAAAAGAAAGTGCAGAGTCCTGTCTAACAATGAGTTATATTAGGTGAATTAAAGGATCAAAAGGCAGAGAAATGTAACCTTTGTGGAGAATGCTGGTGTGCACACGTATATCCTATAAAATTGAAAAAATGAAGCATCAAATATAAATATGTCCTGTATAGATGACTCGATAAACTGCTTGAATTTACTCACATGGCTTTGCAGAACAAAAGACGTATGCTTATATCTAGATGCTGGTGGAACCCCAAAATAGAGTGGCGTCTTCCATTTCATCTTTGCTGCAAGAAAAATATTTTTCTTATATATTCCAATATTCTGGCTATAAGTGAAATAAGATTGTCATATCAACCTCCCGGTTTATGGGGTATAAACAACGGAATATGGGGAACCTTTGGAGGTACCATCAATGTTGAACCAGAAGTTTTATTGCTGAAATGATACTTAAACTCCATTATAGTATTATGGCTTCTGTTTTAATTCACATCAGCTTGTATAATAACTCTGTAACAAAGGTAATACACCACATCTATTTTTGTAATATTAACACAGTCGTTTACGAGATTTCATCATAAAACAAGAAAAAAAATGTGTAAAATCCCACTACTCAAAAAATAATAATAATGTGATAATCCCAAAAATGACTATAATTTAGAGCTGCTCACACCAATGTGCAACCACCGACACATAAAACTATAACAAATCAATAAAAATGATGTGCAGAGTTCCAATCAATAAAGTATGTAAAACACTGGAAACACATCAATAACTATGATCAAAACAGTAAAATTTAATGTGCATCATATTAAGAATAAAATTACAATAAAAATAGTATAAACTGACGAGTGCCTGTTACCCACACAAGTGCACAAAATATTGAGCAGTCTTTGTCAGCTTTTCAGTGAACACATAATCCCACACTAGTGAATAGTATCTTGTGCAATTATAAACACACTTTATCATCGTTTCTGCAACCAAACCTAGGTTTCTACACCAAAGGTCATACAGAGCTCAGCATAAATATAGGCATGAATACAGCTAACAGGATCTCCAGCGGCCACGCTGACATCACAGCTCCTCCCACCTGACGCATATCGTCCACAGGACTTTCTCAAAGGCTGGCTTGATGATACGCATCAGATGGGAGTATTTATTTATGTGATGTGTATTTGTCTTCCTAATGTGAGTGCATACTTCCTATTTCTTTTAATAAATATACGGGGTTACACTATGGAGGTTAGCTTTATTTTATTTTGAGAGCAATCCAGCCCTGCATTGGAAGAGTGCCTGAGAATAGGAGGAAACCAGCAGAGGAGGGAGAGTCCTGGGGAAAGCTGATGATTGCAAAAGAGCATAGTATGACCTTTGGATTACAGATGTTCTAAAATCAAGACAGATTCGAGTATTTAAACTAGTTGCATGTAAACATTCATTTAATGATGTTTAAAAAAATACATAATGGCACTAAATATCTTATTTTTAGTGCATAAGCTTTAGAAACATATGATATTTTTTTGCCATAGCATTAGGTTTGCTGTGTGTTTTATAAATAGAGGGAAAACAGTGTATTTTAAAATACTGACTGAACACAACTTTTCTTTCTTTGATCATCCCCATCTTTCATTAGAACAGAACCAGCCGCCGATTGTTTATAAGCTTAATAAATATTAGCTGGTTTGTAGGGTCTCTATAATAGCGGGAGACCTTTCTAGGTTAAGCCCAGAGGAATTCATTACATACATCTTCTACCAACACATATTCTTCTATTGCAGCCCAGAATCACAGTTATAGAGACCACCTTGGTCACCTAGGGTACACAATTAGCATATGCCCTGACTTCCACTCACTCACTTACATCACTTAATAGGTGCTTAGGGGTAGGGGTAGGGGTGGTAGAGACTAGTGCCTGCAGACATCAACCGAAATGTACCCATTAGTCTTGTATACTGTAGCTTGAGAGTTTTGTTCTTAGAGTCCTGGACCATAACTCATTCTTTGGGATCAGAGGTTGAAGGGACACCATCCTCTCTAATTGTACTCACCTCATTAATCTTTGACGGCAACACTGCACAGAAATCTGCTATATGCTTGGGAATGTTATTGTAACTTTTCAATGCACTGTAACAGGTAACGGTCGATGGGTTAGACACAAACTCGAACAGTCTCTGGTTGGGGCAAACTTTATTAACTCGCTAGTCCTTCAAAAAAATTCTCTCATAGTCAATTAAAAAGCCAGGAATTTTTGCGAGGACGTGTAATTCTTATGGTTTATGGGGTACAACAATTGCACTGGGGGAACCTGGAAGATACCACTAATGCTGAACAATCATTTATATTGCTAAAATGACAAATGGAATGTTATGACTGCCGTACAATGCAAAATCTTAATGATACAGCAAATATCGGGCACCCTGTGAAACTGTTTAAAAAAGCAAGCATTATCTTGCCCTAATACCTAATATTGAGGGTGTTAGTGTGATTACACCACTGAGCGCAGATTTACCGTAGGAATGCTTTCTTTCTGCCAGTGTTTATAATAACTGTTCAAACTTTTTATGTCATCACTTTATTGTAAAGTGATATCTGTTCAACAACTGAATGCCATCCAGAAGCAAATAATCTGCATAAAGAGCTTTAGGCATCCCCTGACAATTATCTAAGCGTGTATGTTTCCCTTTAACATTTGGCAAAGTGCACTGTGCCTAAGCTGAGACCCCCTGCTGCAATATATCCTTTGCACTCTTGGAACCTGTGACACCCCTATGACTCCAAAGCACCCTGAGCATCCTGCGTCATCCAGTTAATCCAGTGCACCTCAGTATCCTATGTCTCTCCATGATTCCCATGACTCCAAAGCACCCTGAGCGATGGTGGAAGCCGGTCCCGAAGCGCCAGTCGGGCGTGGAGGTGGCGGGGACCTGGAAGTGCCAGTCGGGCGGAGGAGGCCGGGTGCCCTCAGCACCAGTGATCCGGCGGTGAAGGAGGCCAGTTCCAGCAGTGGTTGGCAGATGCAGTTAAGTGGATCACACTACTGGTAAAGGGATTCTGCACAGCCCACCTGAAAGTCTCAGGTGGGCTCTGCAGGATCTGTGGTGGGTTCGGTAGGGTCCCAGGGGGGCTGTGCAGGATCTGTGGTGGGCTTTGCAGGGTCCATGGTGGGCTCTGCAGGGTCTCAGTGGGGATGTGCAGGATCTGTGTTGGGCCCTGATGCACAGAGATACCCAAATGATCAGCTGTGAAATGTAGAGGACACCTATCTAGACTTTCTATAGGACACAATTGTACCTTCCTTGCTACCACTTAGCAATTGGTCATAGAGAGAAAGACGGCATCAAGTCGTCCAGCCAAAATCACCAGGAGTTGTTTTCCAGAAGTGAGATGTTGAAATAATATAGCTTATTTCTATAGGTCTCTCTGATGTCGTGAAGCTAGCTGTATACCTCCATGGCGATCTCCGCCATCTCTCTCTCTATGACCCTGAGGTCCCAAGGTGTGACAAACCAGGGAGACCGTAGGGAAGGTGGTGGGGCTACCTGCCACCCACCCTTTCGACTTTCCAGGCATCTCCCCCATTCCGCAAACCAACCCTGCATGATCCATCTTCAGTGGGTCCCCTGATGAAGCCAGTGGTGAAATGCGTCGGGCCTATTTAGATAAGCCACGCTTAGGACAATACTATTGTATACAAAAATGTTTCTTTATTTGGAAAATATGTGAATAAGATCATGATATGTATGAATAATTGGATATTTAGAGCCATATACTATATCAGTGAATATACAAACATTTCCTATGCAGGGATTTGTTTTGTTTTGTTTTGATTTATGAATGTATACATTTTTTAAACAATATTTAAAACAAAATACATTTTGATATTTTTAATATCTCTCTCTTGGACGGTCATTCACACCCCTCCAGAAACCCTTATATCCCCCCACTTTTTGTGAAATCTATTTATGCTAACAAGTAAAATACTTCCAACCACACGTTCCTCAGACATAATAATAGCTCTGTAAATATATTATAACAGTTATAATTACAGTGGAGTCTGATCAGATGGAA